CGGTGGTATGTCTGCTACGGTAGAGAACAATTGTCCGCAGTGTACAGATAATGCTGCTGCTGAGTTCGGAATATGGCCTCTAGTGAATGTGATGGAACAAGCACGGGGCTCCACTGGGTTCCTGTGTGGACTGAGGGGGAGTAGTCTTAGTCTGGCTGATAGCTACTATCAAGGTAGAATAACTTCTGGGGTGTGGGAAGGGTAGAAAAGTCAAAAATTAACTAACCATGTTCGTTGATCAAGAAGAATATGATTTGATATTATGTTTTTAGGTGCCATCGCTTTTGTGTGATAACATTACGTCAGTCCAATTCGTGACTAACAGACTATTATTTCAGCTCTGTCTCCGCAACCGTGTCCCCAATCTAGAGGGTATGCGTCCTCTATGCCCTTCCTGGACGCTGAACACTATGTGGATAAGGTAAATGGCTAATTCCATTTTCTTCAGTGATACTTACACTCTGTATCATTGTGCGACAGGTTGAAGGTTGTCTGTATTATTTTTTCCTACCTTTTAGTTCCTAGGTAGTACCTTAGTTCCTACCTTTTAGTTCCAAGCCTCAACACAAACCAAAAATATATGAAGATTACAGCTTAATTGTGTAGAGGCCGTTGTACGTGATATTAGTATTATATTGTATTCGTAATAACCCCACTTTTCCCTCACAGAGAACGGGCCTGTCCCACTCTCCAATGAGCGAATGTTCCAGAACCACGAATACCTCCCGGATCAGCCTTGCGAAACGAGCGATACACAACTCTCACCGTCACAACTCGGACGACCAGAGCCAACATGGTGAGTCCAATGTCTGCGGGCAGGAATCTTGTAAAGTTGTGTCGTGTTGGTGTCACGTGTATGTGTATTAATATGTATCATCTTGTGGTCCGATGACACTGCTGCGGCATTGTTCACCACCCCTGTGGCACTGTTCACCACCCCTGTGGCACTGTTCACCATCACTGCGGCATTGTTCACCTTAACTGTGGTAATGTGGTTTTACTCCCCCGGAAGTCGGAACTGCTGTTACGCAGTTGTGGTGATGGGCCTTTCATCATATATCTTTGAAATATCATGCAGGGGACAGCGTATTCACGTCATTCCATCCAGTTCAACGCAAAATGTAGGCTTTTAGTCCTGAAAGTATAGCTTTTCCGCCGACTCGGTGTTTATCATAGTAGTCACCACCTACAACTAGTAGAAGTCGTAGGTGGTGACAAAAATAGGCAAAAGGAAAACGAAAGAGAGGAAGCACATTATTTACCAGCTTGCTTCTATGCGACAAATATTAATATGCATAAAATTAACTATTTAAAACGAAAATCCAAAACAGTGCCAGAGCAGCTCTCCAAAAATACAAGTACACTCTGCTTTCTCTCCACAAAGAAGCAAAAATTCAATACAAAGTAAGATTAAAAAACCGATAGAAAGAGAAGGAATTTTACCGTCGGGCGGCTTTTATGTTCACAGTAGGGACGGCTTAATGCTTCACCAGTGGGCGTGTCCGGATACGTACCTTCACAAACAGGGATCTTGATAAATGTTGATGAGCTGATTCTAGGTTATGGTAATTCTATAATCTAGGTAGTATTTATAATTTTATACTACCTATTAGTAGTTACGCTCCTGGTATCTGTCTTTGTTTCCGTTTGTTAAATTTGTCACATACTTACATCAGGAGAGTGTAGAATGAGTGTAAAATATTGGTCCCTCCCCCCTACTAAACTCTGATAATGCAGATATCGAGAGAGCTGTTATTGTCTCTATCATGTAAATGTAATGTGTGATTAACTGTTTATCTCATTGCCCATTCCCTGTGTGTAGTTAGTGGTATGCAATAATGTCGTTCCATTATTCATTGTGTCATATTTTCAACTATTGTGTAAACAAATGATTAATTGATTAACATTAAGATTAATCTAACCGCCTCCCTGAAGATTACACACATTTCTCTTGAGTTCTGGGTACTTCCCGATTTGTCGCCCGACAGTGGAATTTTTGTCATTCTTTGGATGGTAATTACATTTCAAGCCTGGATGATGCAACGATAACGACATTTATTATTTGCAACACTTTATTTTACCCTGCGACCCTTTCTACCTCTTGCCAGATAACCAGGAAATTATTGTTTGTAATACAGATAAAAATACCGCTGCCCGTTTCTTTTTAACTTTAACTCACGGCTATCTTTAAAAGTTTGACAGGTACAATTCACTTCCTCCCCGAATATATTACCTGCTCCCAGCTTGTTCGCATTAATCAGTGATACTGTGGGTAAAGTAGTCATATTACATGCTGCAGTTTTACTTTCCCCGCTGCTTAGTCTTACCCTCTCACGATACCGCCACTTAAAACCCAATTTTCACATTGTTTTGTTGTGCTGTCTTTCGCTCTAAATTTATTAAAAAACGCTTCTGTTTTTAAGGGTGTTAAGTTGTTGTGTGGTTGTTTTAAAGCTGATTTAAATTTGATTTTCAGTTAATTTTTAAAATCTCGACACGGGTCAGGTCGGGAATCCCCAGAGTTGGTTTTTAGTTTGTTTGCTCTGTGGTTAGTTTCGTGTTTATAGAAAAGTTTGTCCGAAAACGCTTTTCGGTTTATCAAAGATGTATCTAAATTTAAGCTAGAGTTCATCGACGCTTTGTCTACAGTTTACGTAAAGGTTGTTGATGATTAATAAAGCTTGATAATAGTTGCAGAACGTTGTTATCATCTAACTATCAGTTTAGCGATCATTCCTTCAAAGGACGGGTTCCTGCTAGTTCCTTTAGAGGATGGGGTAGTTGTGGCATTTTCTTCAAGTTGACATCATATCTTAAATTAGCGTATATAACATTAAATATTTGTCGCACCGAGCTTAAAGTTAATTAAAAGTATATCGGAGATTACATTAACTTGATCTAAAATTGATCTAAAGTTGGTCTAGAAGGAGTAGAATGTTAGCGGGACTGCTCCCCCTTCTACTGTCAGCATGCGACTCACTTACATGGATCTGACAAACCTCATCATTGCCGAGAAATGGCACACCCTCCGGTCCAACTCAAGTTGGTCAGGTTCGTCTACAGTTGATCTAGTTTTTCTAGAGTTGGTCTAGAGTTGGTCTGAGGGTAGTTTGTTTAAGTCATAAGTCGGGCATGTCTCATTGTGAGAGTGGGAGCTGGCTGCATCCGTACTTATTAGTAATGAGTTATCACATTACCTGGGCACTCAGGTGTTTGGAACTGTGCTAATCATGCTAACACGTGACACAGTATATCTGGATGAATAGCCACCACACCACGCTAACGACCTAACGTGTGTACCCTAAACTAAACACCACACTAACGTGTGGACTCTAAACTTAGAACCAATGAAAAACATCTTACACATGATGTTATAAGTGATTGTATCTTGTCCACTGTTGAGGTTGTGTAAATGTGTGTAAAGTGTCCACTGAAATTTGTAGTTATTCCTCATTTGATTTCCTCATTATATCAGCAAATTAAGTATCTAATTTTGTTCCCTTCTAACCCTCCTTCCCCCCAGGTTCCTCCCACCAGGACCACATAGACCTGTCCCACATAATGCAGATACTAACCACCTCCACCAACGGTAAACTCCTCAGCACTGCAGCTGGGTGTCTTCAACACATGGCTTACAACCACGACCATATGAAAGGGAGAATCAGGTGGGTTTTTTATTTTAAAATTCAAATAAATTGTAAATCAATGTATATTACAGTTACATTTTGCAAAAAACATGCTCTTCTCTGTGCCTGTTTTGTGTTCCATAGATAAGGCTATTTATGGTAGAGTTGAAATGTTAGGGAACTCAATAACATCATTGTGTTATCTCTAGTCTCTACCTTAAAATTAAATAGCGCTTATCAAAACCAAATGCTCGAATATTCGTGGCAACTGTTTTCATGTTATAAACGGTTGTCACGGAAATTTGAGCATGTAATTTTTCTAAATTCATTCTGTTATCTGTCCTTTAAATAGCGCCTATAAACGGTTGCTACGGAAATTTGAATATTTGTTTTCTCTGAATTTTTAAAGCCGACTGTTCGCGGTTGGATCAAATTTCAACAGCTCAAAGGTTTTAACTCAGCTCTAACCATGTTAATAAGCCTCTCTTCAAATTAAATCAGATTGCGTCAAGTGATTTGAGCTTGAAGAAGCTGTTCTTTTTCAATCACCTTATCGCACATGATAACCTAATCCCGTATAATATAAGAAAGCTTCTGACCACAAGTCTCCTCAGGGATGTTGGTGGGATCCCCATCCTAGTTAGACTCCTGCAAGCAGAGGAGGAGGTTAGTCTCTCCGCTCTGGGTGCTCTCAGGAACCTGTCCTTCGGTCAGCAGAACAACATCAACAAGGTTCGTTGGAATCTTAATTTTTTAAATCTTTTCTATATTGATATCTTTTAAATATCTATAAGGAATGTGTTTTGAATTGATTTCAGGAATGATACAAGCCTAAATAGCAAATTTTCGTTGTTAACTTTTTAAAATAGTTCTTTCGTAGCGCGAACATGGTATGGTTATTAAACTTTACAAAAATTCTCCGACAAACATAATGAATTTTGTTTTTCTACGATCGCATCGATATTCGATAGGTTCACTGTTTATGGTAACCACAATAACAATAAACCGGCGTATGTCCGGCTGCTTGTTAATAAGTGTCAGGTCTTGTCACCTCTGTGCGGTGTCAGTCAGTCTCTTCCATAGTGTGTATTAGGCGGGATCACATGCCCATCTCTATTGGCATGATGCCAGCTTGGTATGATCACGTGACTATGTTATAGGACCTTGATCTGCTCGCTAAATTGAGCTATCTGTTAAATGGGATCTCAATTAGAGAAGGTGATCTGCTATATGAGAACTGTGATTAACATGCTGCAAGTATAAAAACCAGAAACACTTTCATCGAATTATCATTCATTCGATATTACATCTTCTATCTTAACAACTAAAATAGTGTGAACAACTAACTACAACAACATCTCTTATCTTAACAACATGAGTTCTTTCGAAGAGTACCTGAACAACTTATTTAGTCTGTCAACTCCTCCACCCAACCATCTCCCTAACTATCCTACACCAGTTTATCCTACACCAGTGTATCCTACACCAGTGTATCCTACACCAGTGTGTCCTACACCTACATACCCTGTACCTTCTTACCCTACATCTTATCACTCTCTTGGATATTCCTACCTTTCTCCTGGATCCTACTATCCTGGTTCCTACCTAACTTTACCAGCTGAGACCCCCTACCAATACAGCATCAGCCCAGAGATTACCCCTCTGAAACCACCCAGCCCTTCAACCAGTCAGTACTGTAGTTTCTCCTCCACCAACACTTCCACTCTGGAGACACCTACCTTCACACCGGAACCTGTAGCTACCTCCACTCCTGCATTTCCTCTGTCACCTAATCACGTCACCCCGCCCCCGACTCCAGGAAAACAGCAGATTAGCTCACCTCCCCGCTTCTTCTTCCCTCCAGACTTCTCCCTCCCAAACAGTGGTAACACGGAGGAAGTGCCCAGTGGAGCCCCACTCAGCAAACAGACCCCCTCCTCGTTCGGTAAAACTCAGAGACGGAGACGACACAGAACAAAGTTTACCATCTGCCAGACGTCCGCCCTTGAAGCTGAGTTCAGCGTCTGTTCCTATATCTCGGCTGAAAGGAGGAGAGAACTCTCGGAGGTACTGGGGATTAAGGAGCTTACTATTAGAGTGTGGTTTCAGAACAGACGGACCCAGGAGAAGAAGAAGGAGAACAATCGTCCTACACACTCATCCTACACACCTAGTCCTACACACTCATCCTACACACCTAGTCCTACACATCTCTCCGGCTGGTCGTCATGAACCAATATTGTGTAATTTTGGGATATATTGCGTGGATATTAAATGTTGAATCTTTATTTTATATTGGTGAATCAAGTTAACATATTGAATTAATAAATGTCATAATTTGTCATAAAGTGCAAGTCTCGCCATGGAGCCTCCAGCCTCATTACAGTAAGTTTCGCTTGACAAGTAATCCCCGACCTCATGACGTCACAACTCAAATACTCTCTCAGCTAATGGAGTTTCTAAGACTTTGTAGCACAACATGACATCACCAGAGCCATTAGATAATGTCTTGCAACTGTGGATCCTTCCAGTGCCACTTGATGGTATTTTAGCGTGTTACAAATTGTTGGCATGCCAGACATCTATTATATTGTTTGTTTCGTGTGGAATTTAGCTCTATTTTCCGTGTTGTTTGTACTTATGATTTTAAGTTTAGATCAGAGTTCAAGTGAATTAATTTTGTTAGTTCTTTGAGATAATATCTCGTAATCACTTTCCCCATTTGTAGATTTGTGTATATTTGCGTAATTATATCAGAACTTCCTCCCCCTCTGCGATTACGTAACATGCGAACGGCCTATTTCCTCTTCGCTCTAATTGATACACCTGCATAAGATATTTGTAATAGCTTATTCGATTGTAAGGGCACGGGATCTCATTATTGCCACAAAGAGATTACGTAGTCAAGGATCCCCTATTGCTCAACATCTTCCAAAATACTTCAATATAGCTGCAAAAATATATGACGTAATATTAGTTTTTATAACTCTGATACCTACACGTATTCATTCCACCACTCTCTCTCTCTCTCTTTTGCTTCCCGAAATAGCGTATCTTGCGATTATAGCTGAGATAATGACACATAATTATCTCATTATGTCATTATCTCCAACTCTCTTACAGATAGCTAGTTGCTCCAGACTTAGCATCTGTCTTGTGTGTGTTTTATGTTGTTCTTTGTGTAGTGTGTGTGTACGCCTCTTAGAGTTCTTGTAAAATATCAGTTACATTGCGGAGGTTACTGTTCTCTTTCCGTCGTTCTAATCTATAACAGCCACTGCGAAACAGCATCCACTGTGAAACAGCAGCCACTGTGAAACAGCAGCCACTGTGAAACAGCAGCCACTGTGAAACAGCAGTCACTGTGAAACAGCAGCCACTGTGAAACAGCAGCCACTGTGAAACAGCAGCCACTGTGAAACAGCAGCCACTGTGAAACAGCAGCCACTGCGAAACAGCAGCCACTGTGAAACAGCAGCCACTGCGAAACAGCAGCCACTGCGAAACAGCAGCCACTGCGAAACAGCAGCCACTGCGAAACAGCAGCCACTGCGAAACAGCAGCCACTGCGAAACAGCAGCCACTGCGAAACAGCAGCCACTGCGAAACAGCAGCCACTGCGAAACAGCAGCCACTGCGAAACAGCAGCCACTGCGAAACAGCAGCCACTGCGAAACGGCAGCCACTGCGAAACGGCAGCCACTGCGAAACAGCAGCCACCGCGAAACAGCAGCCACCGCGAAACAGCAGCCACCGCGAAACAGCAGCCACCGCGAAACAGCAGCCACCGCGAAACAGCAGCCACCGCGAAACAGCAGCCACCGCGAAACAGCAGCCACCGCGAAACAGCAGCCACTGCGAAACAGCAGCCACTGCGAAACAGCAGCCACTGCGAAACAGCAGCCACTGCGAAACAGCAGCCACTGCGAAACAGCAGCCACCGCGAAACAGCAGCCACCGCGAAACAGCAGCCACCGCGAAACAGCAGCCACCGCGAAACAGCAGCCACCGCGAAACAGCAGCCACCGCGAAACAGCAGCCACCGCGAAACAGCAGCCACCGCGAAACAGCAGCCACCGCGAAACAGCAGCCACCGCGAAACAGCAGCCACCGCGAAACAGCAGCCACCGCGAAACAGCAGCCACCGCGAAACAGCAGCCACCGCGAAACAGCAGCCACCGCGAAACAGCAGCCACCGCGAAACAGCAGCCACCGCGAAACAGCAGCCACCGCGAAACAGCAGCCACCGCGAAACAGCAGCCACCGCGAAACAGCAGCCACCGCGAAACAGCAGCCACCGCGAAACAGCAGCCACCGCGAAACAGCAGCCACCGCGAAACAGCAGCCACCGCGAAACAGCAGCCACCGCGAAACAGCAGCCACCGTGAAACAGCAGCCACCGTGAAACAGCAGCCACCGTGAAACAGCAGCCACTGTGTGTTATCGTTTACATTCCATTCTCCAATCTTTTCAGCGTACTTTGTCCGGTGTGCTTGCTACATATTTGGTTGGAACTACATCCTTTCAGCACATTTCATGCTTGTCCCCCTTAGTCTGCTAATTAGCCCCCGTTTCAACCCCGCCTGCATCATTCAGCACCATTCAGCACCCCTATATTACACGTACTGTTCTCTATTCTTGTATGTGTTATTCCAGTGCCTCATCCGTCCACTAAACATTCCACCCGGCCTAAACATTATAAACATATCCGAACGATACATGATGTATATTCTATTCTTATACAAATCAAATTCCACTGACTACTCCACATTCCTCAATGTCCTGCCATGCCCCTCTGATCAGATTATCCTCATTACCATAACCTCTCTCTCGCCTTCTCACTCTCTCACTCTCTCTCTCTAGTGCTTCTAGTGTAGGATCTGAGATTTGAAATGCTGTTACTTCAAATCCGATTAGTTCTCCGGTCTCATTTTCTCTGCATGTTCCGGTGAATTTGTTGTCAGATTTGTAGCTACTACTTTCATTGTGCCCGCTTATTATTATTGTTTAGTTGCTTATTTTTATCCGTTGACCCGTTTTTAAAACCTCGTGTTTATTTTAATTTCTCTGTTTTGTAATATAACTCTCGTGATCATTAAGGTCTGCACATTCTTTTCCCATGCATTAAGCCATGCTCATGGTTCCTAGTTGGCACAAAATCAGGACATTTGGTGATGATGAGTTCACTTAGTACAGATGATCTAGCCAGATAAGTAGACTTTAAACGATGTCATATTATTTGGAATACCTCCCCACAATACTGTTACTTAAGTAAACATGTTTTTTTACACGATGTTATTTACATTTTACACACCAAGTTGGCATGCCAACTGCCACCAACCTCTCACATCTTCTTCCTAATTAGGCCCTCCTACATTGTTTAGATTTTTGTGAGTTCTGAATTTCTTACAGTGGGTCGTTTGCGGCCGCTTTAGTCAATTTGTGCCATTTTTCATCGTATTTTGTCCGTGATCACCTGATTTTGGCTGTTGTGCTCGCTTCTGAGCTCAAGCAGGAATTTAACAGGAATTCCGAATTAAGCAGGAATTTAACATGAAACTGTCCGATGGAACAATTTAATTGAAGTTGTCTAGACTAAATATACAACATCTGTAATGTGTATAGTAGTGTACGCCACTTGTAATGGGGGGGGGGGGGGGGGGGGGGGGGGTATCATGCACTTAGTAATGGACGTGACGTTGGGGTGACGGGTCAGATATGTTGAAATATGGCGAAATCTGTACGCCATTTTCCGTCCTCTGACCCCCAGACTAATGCGCTAATATAACTCCACATCACGGCATTACACATACCTGATAATCTTAAATACTGATAATCTGAAATACCTGATAATCTGAAATTACACATACCTGATGTTAATATGTACCCCACTATCTCTGCAACTGCATATTATCATAAAACTGGCTACATTCCAATCCCATCCTGGTTCTCACCCCCATTGGCTGCCCCTCCCCACCTGACCCCCTCCCTGCTTCCTGATTGGTGCTCACACTGCAGTGACGTCACGACACTGGGGGCAGCGTAACGTGATATCCGTTATCCAGCCTGGCTTTCTGTTGATTTTAATGAAAAGCCAGCTGGTCGCTGTTATCCTCAGTTTCTTGTATCGGTTAGTCTATTTCTTTCTTTCTAATCAGGCTGCAACTGTTTTATCGGGTGTTCGTTTTATAGATAAGCTGTGTTTGCAGACTGCAAGAGTGATGGGTATTTATCGAGGGTTATTTGTAGATTTAATATGAACTGCTACTCTAAATTCATAATCTTTACCTATTTTGTGGATAGCATATTATATTGATTTGATTTGTCTGGTGGTTGATAGTTTTATTTTAGTAACTGCCATCTTGGATCAGCTACTTCTCGCCCGTCGCGTCGGTAAACTTCTTGCTTGAGTGAAACTGTTTAATTTGGAAACTTGGAGCCGTTCTTTGTTAGATAAGGCACCAATCACCAAGCGGAAAATGTTCATAGTTACGTTCATGTACTACCCACCTCTCTGCATTGCACAGTTCATTATGTTGCGTTATTCTGTCTAGCTAATTGAAAAGTAGAGATAAGCGACTGCAGCTCACGCCTCACAGTGCACTAACTGAAGACGATACTCGTATATAGTATGACAAACAATCTAATAATAGATTTTTAGAAATGGAAAATTTATTCTCTTAAAACTAGGCGTGGTATCACTGGTAAAAGGCTAGAGCAGCTGTTGTCCCAGCTGAACAACGTTACCACCCTCACATTACGTAAGTGAGTGAGTGCCCTGCACATTGACGCAGTCACAGAGTACCTCATTGTTTCATCTTCTTTCTTCTTTCTACCTTATATGTGGGGCGTGGCGACCTCCCTTGCAGAGAACCTGCGCTCTGTAGCTGCTTTTTGCATTTTCTATTCGCTAAATTGGCTGTAGTTTGTAATACTCTGCAGTCTGCTATATGTTCATTATATGCAAGCCTCTTGATTTATAACGACCCACAAGATCATTATCCCGGGAAGCAGTGAGTAAACACTTCCTCTGTACAATTCAACAAATTACATTATTTATGAAGGAGCACAGTATTGCTGGGGCACTCAAAAGCAGCTTCACCCCTTCTTCACTTCTTCAAGCTCTTAACATTGCTAAATAACCAGTCTGTGATAGTCGCTAAATGTAACCACTCTCTGCAGTTCTCATTTCTCCGTGATACTACAACATCTCCTCACCAGATGTTGAACCACCTGTTCGCTCTATTCTAAACAGCCTCTCCTCGCTAACTCCAAGTTCCCTTTGTCTGCTCTGGTTAAGTCCCATTACAGTACCAGGTAATTCCAAGTATAAGACCACTCACAATCCACAGCAGGGTTCTTGTGTTCTCGTGATAATTACCCAGCTTAGCACCTCTCTACTCCGACTGGTTAGTCTTATGGTTAATGATCTTTCTTGTGGCTGGTTAATGGCCTTTCTTCGTCCCCTGGACTTCATGATATGCATGTCTCCTCCGCCTCATCACAGAACAAACAACACACTATACAATATACACTATACAATATACAATAGACATTGTACATTGTACATTGTACATTGTACATGTTACTGTTAACGGTAATTCAGCTACACACCAACCCCCCAATTAGCAGCTCGTCCCTCCAACCACATCACTATTATATGCAGGAAACTTATAGTAACTATAGTGTGTAACTACAGTGTGTAATTAGATTACGACAATGCTAGAAAGTTCCATGATAGCCTACATGGCGTCTCCCTGACTGCCCTCTCCCCCTTTACCTTCCCTGAATAACGTTGGTAATGCATTGCTGTAGTGTTGCTGCTTCCCATGTTGCATCAGTAAGTGCTGGCTCTAACTTTAAGATAGATTATAGAGGCTGTATAATCATTATCATCATATCATTACTGCTCATCTTTCTTAGAAAGCCAGTTTCTGGTTCGTTTGGATCCGGTTCGTTTGGATCCGGCTCAGTCTTGTTGTACTGCAGTTGTAGCTGATCACTGATCGGTAGTTGTAGTGATCTAAGGTAGTAGGGACGATTGACGAAGTTCCTTTTTTCCATTTGATTGGATCACGCTTCATTTGATCTAATAAACAGTGACAGATCTTGAAATGTCTTCTTTTCTGATAACATTATCTGATCACTTGATTATTATCACATACTCTGCTCCTTCTGCTCGCAATATAGTCTATCATATTGCATTTTGTTTTATTTCGCAAACCATCAACCTTATCACGTGACTAAGCATTGTCACGTGACTAAACCTTGTCACGTGACTAAACCTTGTCACGTGATTAAACCTTGATCAATCGTTTAGCCCACAGCTTACTATAAACTCATACTGATCAGTACAGAGCGAATGATGATATAAAAGCTATTAATAGCCACACATAACTTTAATCGATGATTTTAGATATGCGTTATATTTGTTTGTCTCGTTCATATTCGTATCAGATATTCGGTGATGCTATGGAACTTGTCTCCATTCCAGGACTACAAGGATTAGGGGGGTGCATGGTAACCGGTTATATGAGGACGTGACCATGGTGACGAGTGATGCTATCTGGTTCACGTCTGTAACATCAGGTGGCGATATGTCATTCCATTCATTCTCCAGCCTCATAAGGATCATATATAAGCACATTAAAAATACGGATAGTATACGTAATCTGATCTATCAGAATATAATGGTTACATTGCAGCTCACTGCCCACTGAGACACTACACATCTGGCCACGTGCCAAGTTATTGACCAGTCAGAAGCAAGGATGTTGCCCACGTGACTCTTTGTTGACCACGTGACTGTTTCACAAACCAGGCACCTGGGAAGAAGGGTCTCGTGTTACACTACCTTTTGTGTGCTTTATTAGTTTTACTGTGCCTTCAATATATTGTACTGCTCTGCTGTCTTTATTGTGAGAATGTGCTTTAGGTTAATCAGGATTTAATGCTCGCATATTAGGATCCATACGCCTGCCTGAAATGTAATGAATTCCATTCATCCCACTCTCCCCACATGAATAGTCACATACCTCCCTCATACTCCCATTACATATAGCTCCGGATAATGTACAATCACACAGGAAGATGGGTAATTACACTGACTAGCCGGTCTCAACTCACACAGGAAACTAGTTATATTATAACTTTTTGTAGTACACTCATGTCTGTGTCAAGGTGCTCAATCAACTAAAACAAACACTTTTCTAATCGAACTATTTGAGTTGTACATTAGCCAGTTTCTATTTGTTCACATATTTACGAGTGCTATGAACTCACACTAATGCATCTTTCTCTATTACTATACTATTTTCTATTTTATACTCTAGCTTTCCATTCGATACTTTGTAACGTCTCGTTAGGTCAGATGACAGATCAAGTGTAATTGGTCTATAATTATGTGAAATTGATCTATAATTATGTGTAATTGGTCTATAATTATGTGAAATTGATCTATAATTATGTGAAATTGATCTATAATTATGTGTAATTGGTCTATAATTATGTGTAACGATAGTTTACAGTCTACCTAGCCTCCTCTAACTGGCTCATTGTTTGTGTTGTAGACAGTCTATAATTAGCGCTTTGTTTAACTCATACCTACGCTGTTCTATTTCTAGTGTTGTGGTTGTTACTGTGTTCAGCTTGTGGTGTATAATATACACTTAGTTTTTACTTTTTGTTTTGTTTGTTACAGTGCAGTTAGTTGGTTACTGTTGTTTATGTCGATTATGATTATACCATTTACGGCTTGGTTGAACCTAGTTGCGATTTAAGCGAGTAAGCCCGATCTTTTAGGAATATATTCCAAACCAATGTTGCTCATGTCATTAAGAGTAGGGGCCATTGAAACATTTTAAAATACTTTGTGATCGGACTATTGAAGATATGGTGTGACTTTTGGCCCATACTGTAGTTAAAAATATGCTGATTGTTGATAGTGATCACTTTACCTTTGTTGTTGCGATTGGTCAGTTTTTTTTTATCAAATCTGTTAAAATATAACCCTTATCTTGTTTATAGCGCTAAGAGCAGGAAATTCACAAAATGTGATGTTGATAAAATCTGACACAAAAGAAGCCGAATTAAACCGTCTCCTGTCAGACCTCTCCACCCCATGCCTGACAGACAATGTAGTCCTGGGTACCTCTACTTCTAATATTGAAGAAGAGTTAGGGGACGAGGTGATAGAAAGCCCTGTTGACGAGGTGGCTGTAGCCATGTCAGGTGATGAGGGTGTTACTGAAGGTGATGGTGGTGTTACTGAAGGTGATGTTGACATGTTGCCGGATGGAGGTGACGCTCTGGAAGTAGCCAGCACGGTTGCCAGCACTATTCACAGCCCTGAAGAGTACCTGGTGACGGACAGCAGCGACTACATGGATAGTATAGACGGGGAGGACATGTCCACCCACCCTGTAACCGTATCAGAGATATCCCCCCAAACTTACCTCACCATCAACACTCCGCCCCAGACCAGTGGAGAAGCAACACTGCCTGATGATGTGGACGATATGGGTGATCATATCTACGTTAACAGGCACATGGTGCCTATTGACGCTAACACGGGAGATGTGGATCTGGATGCCTGTCCCACTATATCTGATATTAATCCTACCCCTCCTACTACCCCTCCCGGGCCCGCTGGGGATAATCTGTACGAGAACCTTCCTGAGGAAATACCTCCTGATTCTAATGATTTATACGAGAACCTCCCAACAAACGACCTATCAACAAACAGTCCTAGCTTGGTTCTGGAACCAGCAGTGGTTGACGAGGATATGGTAGAAGGGTACCACTCACCAGCCTCGCCCTTCTCAATGACTCTAGCTGCTGATGACGAGTTTACGGACCCGAGCATTGCTTTGTTGGAGATGAGTAATTTGGAGGAGAGGGATGATTTGTTAGAAGACAAGTTAAAGCCTGATGTGGAGAGTTTGAGGCGGCGGTTGTGGTTTTATCTGAGGCAAGATGTCAGGCGGCAAAATATCAAGTTTTGTTACGATCTGCTCGATAATGTGAGTAACCTGGTAACCTGGTAACCTGGTAACCTGGCGAGCCCTGAGTTTGCCCTTTTATCTAATATAAACGTTTTTACGCGAAATTAATCATCAAATATTTCGGCTCACAGTTCTGATCTTGGAACCTCAACTGTATATGCCACGACCGCGACTGAATTATCAGAAACACTACGACATTTACTGTAATTGGAGTTAAAAGTCTCGAAAAAGTTAGAAAGTCGCGCGTTGACGGTGTGTATCATTCCTGCTCCATAAATTATAACTAGGAGTTGTAGAGTATTAATTAAGGAGTATCTCTTAATGGGTTATATTTACAGATCGCAATTAAAGATGCGCACGGTGTTCCACTCCTAGTCCAACTTCTGAAAACGTCAGAAAACTTCGAGGTTTGTTCAACTCAGACATATTCGGTTTTTTATTAGTGTTCCCTCGATTAGAACTCCCTCAATTAAGATCCACCCATATTGGATATAAAGCAATGAAAGGCATTAGTTTGGTCAAATCAAACAGATATGGCGCGGTTTAAAATGCTCAGGAATGTGACCCCGCCTTATTTTCAGATCCAGGAACTTATCACAGGCGTGTTCTGGAATTTGTCCAGCTCCGAACAAGTGAAACCGCAACTCTTACGACAAGCTCTAGAATCTATTGTTAAGAGCATCATCATACCTCAATCCGGTTGGAAAGGAAGTCAGATAATGCACGATTTAACGAGCGAGATCCAATGTACCACAGTCTTCAGGAATGCCACCGGGTGTTTGAGGTACGTAATTCGATCCAGGACCGTAATTGAGTTATGGGAGGATTTTAGTATCAGATTACGTGTTTTGTGGGTCCAGATTTAGCGGTATCAAATGTCTTGTTGAAAAAGTAGCTGTGTTCATGATACGGACAAAACATTTTGTCCATAGCCCAATGCGGGGCTCGAACCCGCGACCCCGAGATTAAGAGTCTCGTGCTCTACCGACTGAGCTAACCGGGCATGTCCAACTTGTGATTTGTCTTGACGATGAAATAGTCCTGTATCACTGAATACGGGACAAAATATTTTTCCATAGCCCAATGCGGGGCTCGAACCCGCGACCCCGAGATTAAGAGTCTCGTGCTCTACCGACTGAGCTAACCGGGCATGTCCAACATATGATTTGTCTTGACGATGAAATAGTCCTGTATCACTGAATACGGACAAAATATTTTTTCCATAGCCCAATGCGGGGCTCGAACCCGCGACCCCGAGATTAAGAGTCTCGTGCTCTACCGACTGAGCTAACCGGGCATGTCTAACTTGTGATTTGTCTTGACGATAAAATAGTCCTGTATCACTGAATAGGGACAAAATATTTTCCATAGCCCAATGCGGGGCTCGAACCCGCGACCCCGAGATTAAGAGTCTCGTGCTCTACCGACTGAGCTAACCGGGCACATCAGAATTAAAAGATGGTTCCATTTTATCCAGCCACTTTAACACGGATTGACAAATTAAATCTTGACCCCCACCTGCAAACAGGGAAGTGCCTTACAACTGCCAACAATTTAAATAAGGTGCTAATTGTGTACACTATTTCAGGAATTTATCATCTGCTGGGCTAGAAGGACGCCAAATAATGCGGTCTTGTTACGGTCTGGTCGACAGTTTGCTCTTCGTGCTCCGATGTGTTCAGGTACTTACTCTAATCTGTTGAAGATCAAATGAGATTTTATCACGTACAGTATTTATTTCTCGTCGTCGGTCTCTGTTGCTTAATCACGTACATTTGTTAAAATACTCCTCATTAATGGACTTGAATATTCATTATTCGTAGATGACAAAACACGTTGATAATTGTCATGCTTAGTGAATATTGATCAATATTTCATGCAGGGCAAGAATGATGTGGACAACAAAGCAGTAGAAAACTCCGCATGTATTCTCCGGAATCTGTCGTACCGACTGGAGTCTGAAGTGAGTCCGGAACACAAGTACGGACAGGTAGAGGATTGGCGGAGTCGGGGGCTGGGTGGAGGACAGTTCAAAAGGAAGGATCCAGGAGATGAACCAGTGAAGAAGAAGAAGAACAGTAAAAAGCACAAAGGAAAAGAGAACGCCACACCCCTACCCGAACACACGAACGGAGTGGGATTACTCTGGCAACCCGGAGTAGTGAGAGTTTACCTAGACCTCTTGTTAGAGTGCAGCAACCCTGAGACTCTGGAGGGAGCTGCTGGAACACTCCAGAACCTCACTGCTTGTGCCTGGGAACCTGCACAGGTGAGAGCTTCAGTAATATAGTAGTTTTAAGAAGGGGGCTCACCGCTCATTGAAACTCGATATTATCAGTCTTCAACAAGCTACGAAAATGAACAAATTTTATCGATATTCAGATAAATATAAATGAGCCGCACCCCCATTCGAATGATGTAAATTTTGGAAATCTACTCTCAATATCTCAACCTGAACTCCCAGATCATTAACACAGCCATTCCCTCAGCTATTACGGGAGTCTGTCCGCAAAGAGAAAGGGCTGTCTGTTATCTCCAGTCTGTTGAGAATGTCTAACGACTCTGTGGTCCGGTCTATTGCTGTCTGTCTCAGAAACCTCGCTTCAGACTCCAAGAACAAGGAGTTGTTAGGTTAGATTTCTTGATATTAACTTAAACCTGAATTGTGGGGTACTCCATTTTATCATATTTTCCAGGACGGATTGTCAATTTCCGTCAGATAGGGTTTGGTTAAAGCAAAAACTAAATTATTAATTCCCGTTTAGGTCAGAACGCACTGAACAATCTTGTCAAGAGATTGCCCGGGGGAGAAGGAGCTGATGGAATAACCGACATGACTATCGGAGCCATTATATCCACTCTCTTGGAACTGGTAACTGGGGCTCCAGAGACCGCAAGACTGCTGAAAACCCAGGGAGGTATTCCCCGACTGGTGGACATATCCCGGTCAACAGACGTATACTCGGGCCAGTGTGTCCATGTCAGTAACAGAGTCCTTGCTGCTTGCTGGGAAATCAGGGACCTCCGCAAAACTCTCAAACACGAGGTAAAACTTCCTTCAAACTTAAGAGTTTCTCAATAATTTCATCTTGAATCATGACAGAGTTACATGTTATTAAAATAGAACTGGTCCCCTGCCCCCCCCCCCCCCCCCCCCCCCCCTCCCCCTCCCTTACTAACCAGTCCCTCCCCCAGGGTTGGAATATCGGAATGTTACAGCGAACAGCCCCACCCGACCGTACAGACGGTCTGGAGTACGACGAGCAGAAGAACCAGTTTAAAGCCAGCTACAACGACGGTCTGAACCGACCCCACCAGAACACATTACAGCGCCAAAGATCCCCCAACAGGCACACGTCACCAGGCCGTCACGTGTCACCAGGTCGTCACGTGTCACCCGGTCATGGCCGCCGTGTACTGAGTCCTTCTGGATACGATCACAACACCCACAGAGCAGCCACTATGGGCAGAGCAGCGGATCCTAGTTACGGTTATCATCGACCTGAGAGACCTTCCGAGGTTTGTAGTGTGGAGTGTACTAGACTTATTCCATTTTTAAAATTAAAGTTCAGTGAACTTAGAACCAGCAACCACCGACTTCTTGCTGGATTACATGAAAATAACCAGTCGATGTTCGAACCATTTTTATCGATGCTAGTACAAGTTTATTTAGGTTAACAATTACTAATTATTTTCCTGTCAGGAGTACGATATGTCCAGAGGACAAAGTCTCCCTGCTCGGTCCCTACCTCCAACTCACCCTCTTAACAGTAACTACGGTGTAGCGGATAGTTGGGTGTGAACAGTCAAGTGACGTCATAACTCCTTATCACGTGACGTCATCACTCACGTGACGTCATCACTTCAAATCACGCCGCGCTTTCAGCAGCGCCTTACCGTGGGATGTTATTCCGTTATCAGAAGACTAATTCAAATTAAGAGTTGTTGACCACCTTTTGTTGTATTAATTCACTCCTTATCACGTGACGTCATCACTCACGCGACGTCATCACCAAACACTCCGTCTCCAGAAGAAAACTCACTTTGTCGGCTGACATTATCATTATTGCGAACAGAGAACTCAGAAGTGTAAATATATGTGCTAGACATATTATACGTGTATGTGTGTTCGACATACGTATATGTTTGAAATTCATTACTGTGTTTTTTGTGGTGATGTTTAGGATTCAACCACCGTTTGCTTGTTTGTTTTAACTAGGACATATAGAAGGAGTTAATATTTTATTTTAATAAGCTTAAATTTGTTATACATGTAGGAGAGTTTTTACGTGTCATCATCATCATTATTGTTATTACATTTTCTTTACATGCTCACATTTTTAATTAGAGATGCTGATCTAAAATCATGGCAAAGTTAACCCTAGCTCTACTTTTACAACGGTCTACTGACCAAATGGAGTCGTGGTTGGGAAGTTAATTTACTTTTTCTTTTGTTTTTAAACGGGAGAAAACTTAAGTCACCTTCCAGCGTAAGCATTGCCCGTGTCCAATGTCTATTCCAACAACTTAGCCGAGATGTACTACTTTTGGGTGTAGTTTTACTGAACAAATTCGCTTTATTGCTGCATCTGGAATAATAAGTTTACTCAGAGGACTAAAAAGGAGTTGAATATAATATGTAGAGGTTAAGTTATACTTTAATGGGGAAACATTTTCCAAACAAGATTTCATTGTTATTTTGTTAAATTTTTATACTTTACAGTTCATTAAACTCAAATTGAGTTTTTAGCTTTCGAAATTTGAAGAATCGCGTTTGATTTGTTTCGTCTTGATTGGACCACAATCTGCTAGTAGTAGTACTACCCAAGAACTAGGTTAAATTCAAATTAGAATAAGTTTAATCTTATTAACAATGTCTATCTCTCGTAGGTGGAAGCTCCTAGGTCATATCTTGCGTAGTGCTGATGACTCCCCCGCTGCATTAGCGTTAAAGTTTGCTGTCACAAGTACAACAAACTGTAAAGGGCGCGTCGGTGCGCATCGTAACAATTTGTTCATTGTTCAAGATTATTGTGAATGATTTGACCCGTAGCGTAGAGGTTTAAAACTTAACTCTTTGAATGATCTTAATAAGCTTAAGATATTAGCCGATGATAGAGTTGCTTGGAGAAACAAATTTTAACTCTAGCTGTCTTGATCTGTACTGATCACCATTTTAGGATGACTTGATTTCTTTTAGGGGTTTTGAATATTTTAATGGTGTAAACAGTTTCTTAATATCTCTCGTAACTAGAAATTGGAAACTCACTAGAGTGTAAGCACTGTTATTTTATGTTATTTAGCCTTAGGTTGTTACGAGGTAAAATGTGGGGTAGCAGTATTACTATTAGTATTGTATATCGAGTTGCTCTGGAGTGAAGCCAATATTTACATTTACTTCTATATTATGTTGAATGTTGGTCCTGCATGTCCCAATAGTATCCATTGATGAAATGGTACTCAACGAGGGATTGTGCCCCGGATAATAGAACATACTACGATATTCCACGTCAGAGTTGCGCACTATACCGAAGGAACTGGTTTTGTGCAGTCATTTCTTTACTGGGCGGCGCTCAGTCTGTCATATTCCGCAGTAGTTGGTTTCGACGGAGAATCGCTTTTTGGTCAATTTTTGCCGGGGAGATTTCGTCAAGTAATAATAATTATATTAAGCTTATAGACGCAATTAAACTACCGGACCACGATGCCACCCCATGACAACATTAAAATATATCGACTCTGTTACATCGTTTCCTCAAATTACTTGTTATTTAGTAGTGTTGAAAGTATTAAAACATTCGTATTAAAAATATATCGTCTCACTTTATATATACTCATATAGTCAGATATTATGACTTTGTTTGCATTAGTATTACGTAGTATTAATCCAATGATTTCAATCATTTTCTCTACTTAAAGTTAAACTTAAACACGCTCACATTAGGACATGGACTACTACAATTTATCTTCACAACTCCAACATGATGCGAACTTTATTGTTACTGATCCGTCTTCGCCTATGTATCGATATGGCAAAGTCTTGGACTTGATTGACGAAGTCAATCCTTCGCAGCTCGGCGCGGCCCAGTGGTGCATCCGCTGCATCGTCTGGTTAGAGTGGATTTGCTATAATTGGGTCACCCCACTAAACTTGATATTATCCCTCTTCATAGTAATTCACAACATGGTCATAGTTAGATTTTACTTTTTACATGGAACCGGCATCACTCAGCTGTTTTTCTTATGGATTGGAATAGCCGATATATTTGTTGCAATTGGCATGGCCGTGTTCTCAATATCCTCAATTCTGTTCTACAATGATATGATTGATCGGTTGCCCTTTCAAAGAGGAATTTTTGTTTTTCTTCTTCTGTTCCCTGCAGCTTTGGCTTGCTCACGGTCCTTGAACGTCTTTGTGTCGATGATAAAGACCATCAATATATAGCAAGTATCGCCTGGAGAGGGATTCCGGTTCAGATGAATAAAATTGCAGTGTTCATAGTATCCTTTGCTACATTTCTCCTGTGGCTAACCCTCAACACTTATGATGAGATTCTGTACTGGAATAATAGTGTTGCTGACGGACCGAGAGTCGAAGGTGTTGTGGACTGTTTAATTTTACAAATATTGGAAGTATCGTCTCTTGTGGGCACAAAAACACTAGCCGTTATTATTTCCATGTTCGGAGATTATTTTTCATCAGCAGCTTTTCTAGGCGAAATTGTGATAACCATTCATTTCATACTGCCTCCAGTAATCACGTTCATATGCATGATCATTCAAGTACACTCCATCAAATCATCTATCCAGCAAGATTCCATGAATTCAAACCAACCATCAGCATCCTACATCAACATGACCATCTTCTTGGTTACCACCTTATTCTGCATCTGCCACACGACATACTCTGTGTTCGGATTATATGACATTTTAACTGCCCTTCACTCCACCGTCGATGGTTCTTATAAAGAATATTTAAGTTTTACGAGCTTGTTTCAGTTCACGCTGCCTCTGCTTAATTCTGCACTGTTTCCTGTGATCATCATACTGAGAAAGCAGTCCCTCAGAGAGAAATACAGGGACTTGTTTCTCAGTGTGTTCTCTGCTGCTAGAAGTGGGGTTGGTGTGGTGGGAAGGTGGTATGGAGGAGTAGTCACGTGGGTTGCTGGGATTGGGAGGAGAGCGGACTATGAGGAGGTGTCTAGTCATTCAGAAACTCCGTGAATACCATGTTAGTGTTACTTTCGCAAAACTAGCGTGTTTGAGTGATAAAAAGGTTGCACAGACTTGATGTATAGTATCGTAAGGACTTTTGGATCCCCGTAATATCTTGCATTGTCATACGTTGTCATACGTTGTAAATGTATGACCCGCCGCGCTTCCCCCTGTATCGTAGAAACGCTACACTTAGTGGAACGACAATGGGGGTCACGACGTGATACAAGTAATACTAATATCAACTTTAAATTAGCAACTGTACGTTGTGTTTACCGTGTTGTACTTACTGTGTAGTACGTAGTGAGTGACTACGTACGGTTGAGTAGTTCAAGTTGTAATCAAATATGTAGAAATACACGACACTATAAATGTTTACTGGGCCGCGCTCAGCCTGTCATTCCGCCAAATCTATATTCGGCGGAATCTATGTTAATGAACATAATAGCCTGGGGTCCTCAGGTAATATAAATGTATAATTATTATTTTTATTGTGAATCGAATTTAAAGTAAGAGCATACCCGAGGCCGAATTAATTATATATTTTGATCATAAATTACCGTGACGATGAGAACAAAGATGATTTCCTCAATATTAACGGAAAAATATTTTTTCCATTTACTGATTTTAAGCGACTGTTCACATTTGAATGCGTGACTCATTTTTTAGCTTACATTTTCAATATGACGTAATTTTGTTTGTCTAATAGATTAAGTTTTATAAAGTTAAGCAACTTTTAACTTTTTGATTGGGTGACTAAATTTTTCAATTTTACTTTTCGATAGTTTTAGTGTTTAGAAAAATCTCGAAGTTCCAGCGTAAACATAAAATGATTTACTTTCATTTTTAGCACGCTCCGATCATTTTTCAGCTTACATTTTCAATACGGTGATTTATTTGTGTAATCTGCCAATGTTTTAAGCTAACATAAGCAATTACTGTTAACAATTTTTAAAATTTACTTAACTTTAATATGGTTATTAATATTATTGCAATTGTTTGTCTTATTGAATGCATTTTTAAGCTAAGCAACTGTTAATATTTTGACTGTGTGACCAGTGAATCATTCTTTCGATTTACATAATTTTTGATATCGTGATTTTCATTTGTCTAACTCTTATATTTAATGATCAAAAGATAACATGTTAAATTAAAGCGTCCGAGTTGAATTAAAAGTTTATCAAACTTGAATATCCATATAATAAACATATAATTTTCATATTTATTTTGATTGACGATGTCAACCCTTCCAGATCGTTGCTTTGCGAAGCAAAGCGATCTTGTCAGTTGCAAGAATGATAGTTTGCGCGGCGCGTCGAAGCGGCGAAGTCCTCCAAATATTGCTGTTTTAGTTTATGCTTTAGGAAATTCGAGTTAGTTTTGGTAATGGTAATTTTAAAGTAATCGTGAAAATAATAAAACGATTTGAAGTACAAATTTTTGCACCTCAACTATAAATACTGATGGGACTCTTTGTGTATAACAGGACTCTCTGGCTACTACTATACAGCAGGATGGTCTGTTCGAATGGGTTTGAGGCCAGGGCCCTTCTGTGCCATCATTAGAGTGTACAAGTTCGAGAAGAACTCTATCTACACCGATCAACACTACCTATCGGTATACTTATCGAACTTCTACAAACGTTACATAGATGATGCTGCCAGTACTGCAGAGACGAAAGAAGAAGCCCTTGCTCTGGTTCAACAGATTGCAGACCAAGATCCGGACAAAAAGTTGAAGTGGGAGGTCGACTTTCCAGAACAACAGGACGATGTTATCCCCTTCCTGAACACTGAGGTCCGGATCGAGCCAAACGGTAAATTAACCAGCAGATTGTACCGCAAGCTGCAACAAAAGGATATTACCATTTACCCTGCACAACGACTCTTGCCATCCTGAGTCTGTTAAGATTAATACAGTGAAGAACCTATATAGCAAGGCTTGCCGCATCTCGTCTGGCCCAGCGGAAAAGGAGCACTCTCTCACATATTTACCAATTTTGTCAGCATGAATACGGAGTTTTTACTTTGAAACGTTGTTTATCCTAACAGTGCAGTATCATTTGTCGCAAGAAATCAGAATATTCAAAAATTATTTGGAACGATCCCAAAAACTGTCTATTTAAATTAGTATAATAGGTATTTAAATTAGTATAATTATTCTGCTCAGGGATACACTGCTGGAGGGAGAGATAGAGGCGACGAATCATCGTTTTCAGAAGAGTTCTGGTAAGCAGTGGACTCATCTCTCAGATGGAGTACTAACTAGGAGCCAGATTGACTATGTCCTGGTACGGAAGAAGTGGAGGAGCTCAATAAAGAACACCGAGCCATGTAACTCTTTCAATTCCCTGGGCTCTGACCATCGGGCAGTACTCTCAACTGTAAAGCTCAGTCTTCGAAAGAGCATAAGATTAAGTCCACCACGGGTCACACGTTACGACTTCAGTCGTCTCAAAACTGATCAAGAGTTGCAGATCATGTATGGAGTTGAAGTTAGAAATAGGTATAGTGCACTCTTGAGTGAGGAACAACTAGATATATGTCCTACTTATGACGTCACCACTAAGTATGGAAAGTTTATTGAAGCAGTGAAGTATGCAAATAGGAAGCATCTTCCACATAAACCTAAGAAGCGGTATGACGATCCTGCCAACGACCCAAGAGTAGAGGAAGCCAGAAGCAAATTGTTTGCTGCCAAGGAGAGCTACCATCTGGATCCTTGTGAAGATAGCAGACAGACAGTTGCCGAGGAGAAAGACACTCTCTCTGAATGCTACCGTACTGTGGAGGAAGAGCTGCTTAAACAGAAAATAAGAAAAGCTGTAAACGCAGCCGATAGATGCAAGAACAAGGAGAGCTGGGATCTTGTTAATGAGGTCAGTGGGAGAAAGAAGAAGCCATGTGGTCTTGTAGAAGGAGGTAGTAAAGAGGGTAGATCGAGAGCCTGGAAAGACCACTTTACCAAGCTACTTGGACAACCTCCAGTAGTTCCAAACGAAGAAGTGGACATACCAGTCGTACATCCACCACAAAACATCAGTGTAGATAAGTTCACCGAGACCGAACTGGAGGAGGCTACGAAATCGATCAAAGAAGGTAAAGCATTTGGAGAGGATGGAGTTGCCCCTGAAGTGCTGAAGAGGGTAGATGTTGATGATTTGATCCTCGACTTCTGCAATAAAGCACTAGTTGATGGTGATGTTCCTGACCAATGGAAGCACCTAAACATCGTGCCTGTTCCAAAGAAAGGGAATTTGACCAAAGTAGATAACTTCAGAGGTATTGCACTGACATCTATAGTGAGGTCTGTGAGTAAGACTCTCAATAAGATGATACTGAACAGGATCAAACCTACCATGGAGGACATCTTAAGGATCAATCAGAACGGATTTAGAGAGAGAGTAGGTCAACAACTAGTCATATTCTTGGCCTAAGAAGGGTATTCGAGGGAGCTCGGGATAAAGATCTGACCGCGGTAAAGCTCTTCATTGATTTCAAGAAGGCATTCGACAGCGTACACCGTGGACTCCTCATGAAGATCCTCCTGGCATATGGCATTCCCAAGGAGATTGTAGGCTTGATACAAAGAATGTATGCAGATACTTTTGCTCGTGTGATTACCGAGGATGGTCTGAGTGAAGCATTCTTTATTCTAGCAGGAGTGATGCAGGGAGACACCTTGGCGCCCTATCTATTCATAATCGTAATTGACTACATTATGAGGGTGTCCCTAGAGGGTAGGGACTTTGGGTTTACTCTACACCCTAGAAGAAGCCGACGCTATCCGGCTGTCAAGGTCACTGATGTGGACTTTGCTGACGACCTTGCTCTTATAACAGATAGTGTTGCGGAGGCACAAGATTTCCTCAGGAGTCTGGAACTGGCCGCCAACTCAGTTAACTCCAGCTCAACGAGGGGAAAACTAAGTACATGGGAATCAACATACGAGATGATGATAACCCGACTCTGGTTGCTGGGAGCGGGAAGACCATTGAGAAAGTCGATCACTTTGTATATTTGGGTAGTAGAATGAAGAGTTCGGAGAAGGACTTCGAAGTGAGGAAAGCTAAGGCATGGGGAGCGTGTCACCAGATGAAGCTTGTATGGAAGTCGGATATGCGTAGAGATCTCAAGATACGACTGTTCCTGGCTACAGTTGAGTCCATCCTACTGTATGGCTCTAAAACATGGACTGTCAACCAGACCCTCGCAAAACGTATTGATGGATGTTATACAAGAATGCTGAGGATGGCGCTTAACATAGACTGGAAAGAGCGGCAGACTAACGCCAAGGTGTATGGACACCTCATCAGAGCATCTGATAAGATAGCTGAACGGAGGATGAGACTGGCAGGTCATCTAGCCAGACACGAAGAACTTCTGAGTCATCAACTTCTCTTCTGGGAACCCCTTCAAGGACATCGTCGAAGGGGAAGACCACACCTCACATATATTGACATCCTTCGGAAGGACACGGGGCTTGACGACAGCAAGGAGATTAACAAACTCATGCTGGATAGACAGATTTGAAAAAAAACTATCTCTGTTCGGACGTTGAAGCCGCCCTAAGTCGTAAGTCGAGTAATTATTATAATTAGTGTAATTAATGCAATTAGTATAATTAATACAATAAGCATAATTATTATAATTAGTATGATCAGTATGATTAGTATAATTAACAAAATTAGTATAAATGGAATAATTAGTTAATTTAGCATTATTAATATAATTAGCATATTTAGTTAAATTATCAAAATTAATATAATTATCAAAATCAACATAATTAGCAAAATTAGTATAATTAGCAAAATTAGTTGATTAGCAAATTTAGTATAATTAGCAAAATTAGTATAATTAGAAAAAATAGTGTAATTAGCAAAATTAGTGTAATTAGCAAAATTAGTGTGTGTAATTGACGAAATTAGTATAATTAGCAAAATTAATGTAAGTAAGGAAATTAGTGTAATTAGCAAAATTAGTATAATTAGCAAAATTAGTATAACTAACAAAATCATTATAATTAGCAAAATTATTATGATTAGCGAAATTAGTAAATTAAACATAATTATCATATTAATCTAAATAGCATCTCGTTGAGATTATCAAATAGTAAATTACGCAATATTGTGGTCGATTTCTGCCATAAATGATTTAAACAGAATATTTTCTCACTCTTTAATTTTGGCCAATAAGTTCATGTCGTGAGCCACTAATTTTGGGTCTTATAGTGGCATTTTATTTAAATGGTGAGTTTATAGAAGCACTTACAGTACCTTGTTCAATTATTTATTTGTTTATTATATGTATATGATGTATTATTTTATGGCCTTGCTGAAATGTTTTATTCGAAAGAGAGTTGTCAGATTACACATTTAATTATTGCACCTGTTTGAAAGAAATCATAGTCATTAACTAACGAAGTAATGTAATTAAACTGAAAAGTCAAAAGTAATACAACTATGTGCTTTTAAATTAGTACTTTAAAAAAGTAATGTAAATTGTAAAATGAAATTTATTTAAATTTCTTATTTAAAAAAACATCAGTTAAAAATATACACCTTAAATAATAATATCAGTAATAATATACACCTTAAAGAAAATAATCACACTCCACACAACATTTATTTTATAAATTTCAAAATAAATCTCTGAATTTCTCGGTGAATGCCGATTTATAAAAACGTTCACAATGATTTAAAGTTATCTCTCAAAAAAATCCGATTCCATTTATCAATCGGTTGCATTTCTTAAAATGTCAAAAGGGACACCGGTTCTGCTGTTCGGTATGGTGTACAATGTTTACCATCTTCAGTGGTAGGTTGATACTATTACTAGTCAAATTGTTCATTAAGATAGCTTGAAATGTCTGGTTACAGCAGTATCTCACAGTGGCGGAGGTCCGTGTCTTTTCTCGTGATCTTCATTTCAATATCATGAGGCTCGTTCCTGGATTCTGAAATGGTCGAGTGACAAAAATCTGTTATTATGTAGTTTTTGGCAAACACCACATTTCGTGTTCGGAACGTAAAAGTAGAAATGATCACATTTCATGAAATAATAATTATTGAACAGTTTGTAGAAAAATTTAACCGAGAAGAAAATGTTCACTTCTTGTACTTACTATTCACAGCTGCCTAACAAGGTTTACAAAGGGTTCACATTTTGTTTTGTCAGTTGAAAGGTTCGTTCCTACTGAGTAAGGGTCTGAAATAAATTGTTATAATATGATATAATAGCACTACATGCATATTTATGAAAACGTTTAAAATGATTAATCCGATTCCATTTATCAATCGGTTGCATTTCTTAAAATGTTAAAAGGGACACCGGTTCTACTGTTCGGTACGTGTACAATGTTTACCATCTTCAGTGGTAGGTTGATACTATTACTAGTCAAATTGTTCATTAAGATCGCTTGAAATGTCTGGTTACAGCAGTATCTCACAGTGGCGGAGGTCTGTGTCTTCTCTCTATATCATGAGGCTCGTTCCTGGATTCTGAAAGGGTAGAGTGACAAAAATCTGTTATTATGTAGTTTTTGGTAAACACCACATTTCGTGTTCGGAACGTAAAAGTAGAAATGATCACATTTCATGAATTAATAATTATTGAACAGTTTGTAGACAAATTTAACCGAGAAGAATATTTTCACTTCTTGTACTTACTATTCACAGCTGCTTAAAAAGGTTTACAGAGGGTTCACATTTTTTTTATCAGTTGAAAGGTTCGTTCCTACTGAGTAAGGGTCTGAAATAAATTGTTATTAAATATGATGTAATAGCAAAACTTTGGTAACTCTTTGAATAGATTTTAAATTTTGTTTAATGTTAAATACATATTTACAAATAATATGTATTTAACATTGAATAATGTTAATAAATATTTATAAACACAAATATGTCTCACAGTGATGGAGTTTTGTGTCTTTTTCAGGGTATTCATCACTTATCAATGCCACAAAGCTCGTTTCTGTAATCTGTATTCTGAAATGGTGATTTTATTGCCGATCAGTGACACATTATTTCCGGTATTGTACATGTAATTTCTGATGATCAGCACAGTTCATGTTCAAAATTTGATCACAGTCAAGTTCAAAATAAGATAGATAATAGCAATGTGTTTTAAATAGCAATTGAATTTTAGGAATTCAGCACAATAGAAGTGTTATCACGAAAAAGCACTTAAAAAAGGTCATTTTTTACTAACCTTCAATTCGAGCATTAATTGGTTGAAGCTGATATCCTCTCTTTCTTCCTGTTGAACATTCGTATAGTCTTTATACAGCATCGTCTTCGTTCCTGGAGTTGGTTATTAATAACTTAAAATAAAAGTAAATTATCATTAATTGACGATATAAAGATCTTCTCGCTTTTGCCATTTGAAATGGAAAGCACCGGATTTCCAGTCAGTTTCTAATATTTGCTAGACAATATCACCAAGCTATCAATGGTGTATGGTATTACAATTAACTAGATGCTACGTATTAAGTATAGGTACGTACCGTAGTTGTAGCTGCTGATAAAAGCTGAAAGTAGGTTTTAAAAATAAAAACGAAGGCAAATAAGTTTGCTTTTCTAAGGTTGTTATATATTACGGCTGGATAAACTTCAGCAGTTCAAAACTAATTACAAGACTACAAATCTATTATATTTATTGAGTATTATGTAACGCGATGGAAATATTTTAAGCGGGTAATATTATCCTGTCCAAACCCAGGATACATAACATGAAGACTTTATTGTAATTTTGTAAGAGAAGTATCAATATAAGCCTAATAATGTTTAAAATTTTTTGGACATTGATTGAGCAGTTTTTGAAAGATTTCGACGAAAAGAGTAACCCTCCGCTTCTTGTACTTACTGCTCACAGCTCATAAAATGGTCAACAAAGGATTCACATTTTGTCTTTTTAGTTGAAAGGTTCGTTCCTAATGAGTAAGGGTCTGAAACAAATTATTATAATATGATATAATAGCAATACATCAAACCTTTGTTAAATCTTTGAATGATTTTGAATTTAATTTAATGTTAAATACATATTTATAAATAATATGTTGTTATGATTGTTACTAACGATGTTACTTATCTTAGCATGGAGCTTTAGCTCACTCTTATCACAAAGGTAAGAGCAAGCTACGAACGACGCTATGGATGAACAAATGAAAGAGGTGCAGGCCAGCTTGGCTTTGTTGATGAAGAACAACAAGGAAATGTCGGAGAAGATCGCAGCCCTGGAAGTAGAGAACCGGGAGATCAAGAAGAATGCTGGCAATGTTCAGGAGCGGATCCAGGAGAATAAAGCGAAGTGGGAGGAAATGAACAAGGAAGCAGTAGAGTTGCTCCAGCGGATGACATTGGCCCAAGAGGACTTGGCGAATGACAATGTCGAGGCGGAGTACTTTCAGAAGAGTTGCGTAGATACAGTATTAGCCTGTACAATGCTGACGGGCAGTTATGGCGGAGAAATGGCCCAAGGAAGCACCAAGGTGAAACAGGAGCCAGTAGAGGAAAAAGTACTGGGGACGCCGTACGACGCGATGGGAAAGGAAGAGAGGATAGACCTATCTTTTGGACACGACGGGGACTACTCTGCAGTTTCAATGAGAAGGTTCATCGAGAGATATAAAGTGGTCAAAGAGCTGAACATGCGGGCACGACTGAGACGGTGGGACTCCCCATCCTACAGGTCTGGGAAGCTGACGCTTTGTCTGCAAGGTGAAGCATTTGACTACGTGAGTTTTGCGAGCTCCATGCTGAATCCGTGGACAAGTAACGACGAATTACTTGTAAGTAAGTTGAAGGATAAATTCACGAATGTACAGGCAATCGAGCTGAACATTCTTGGGTTTGAGAAGAGTATCCAGGAGCCCAGGGAGACAATCAGTGACTACATGACCCGACTGCAAATGACGGTGAAAGAGGCATACGACGGAGATAGCCAATTAGACCTCGACAGAAGGGTGGCATGGAAGTTTGTAAGTGGATTGGGGGACGAGAGGATCATCCATACAGGTACGTCCTCCAAATGCAAGATGTGTTTAGTCGGTTCATAATCTTTGTACCGAGCATTGATGCAAGAGCAAAAACGGCAGCAGATGCAGTGGTCGAGAGATGGATAAGTCTTTTCGGGATCCCGGAAAAGATGAGATCAGATAGAGGTCCACATTTTATTGCAGAGGTGTTCGAGGAACTGTGTAAAAGAGTGGGTATCAGACACAAGTTGGGTTCACCGGGACACCCCCAGAGCCAGGGGCAAGTAGAGAGGCAGAACCAGTTAATGAACCAGATCAGATGCCTTTGCGAGAACGATGGGGAGAAGTGGCCGGAGGCCTTATACCTGGTACAAGGGAGCCACAACAACTCGATCAACGCTACAACAGGTTTTACTCCAGCTAGGCTTTTGTTTGGCAGGGATTTTAACCGACCAGACGACATGATTGCTCAGGAGAGGGATAAGGTGAAGAAGCCTGGAACAACTGTATTGGAGGAGAGGGACGAAGAATGCAGACTGTTGACTGAGCAAGCACGAACAAACCTGGTCGAATATCAAGAGGAGAGAGTGGAATCAGCAGAGAAAGAAGGACCCTGCAAAACCCCGTACGAAGTAGGCGACTTGGTGCGTTATATGCTCACAGACGAAGCAAGGAGCAATAAAGGCGGGAAGACATCCCCCCGCTACTCGGAGCCGTACAGGGTAACAGCGATCAAGGGTGACGGATATACTTACACGATGGAGCCAGTGGATAAGGACAGTAGAGGCACGCGTAAAGATAGACGGTTCAACTACTTGAAAACGCACAAGAGAGTAGTGAGCAGTGAGGTGGCTCTGGAGCCGGACACCCCTACGATGACACAACCCCAGCGAGATGAACTACACCCTCAAGTGAACGACGGTGTTCCGGAGGTCATGGAACAGTCCCCGGTAGCTCCACCTGATGCGGCGCTAACTGTTCGGAGATCCGGGAGGACTAGGAATCCAGCGAGGTTACTGCAGGCGGACGGGAAGAAGAAGCGGTACGAAGATGCAGAGGCCAGCGGACAACCAGACGCAGATGAGGATTGATGGAATTTGGGGTATTTCAGAGGGTAATAGGACATTTGGGACATGATAGAAATGATACAAATATGTTATACTATTTATCATGACTATTGGATTAATATGATACATAACGATATTATATTATACATGACAGTCAATTCATGACCGTCATTTTGTTATAACGCGAGGAACGGACATTATCATTATCATGAGGGACATTATTAACATGATTAATAATATATTATTGACAATGAGAATCTTGGTATAACGTGATGAACAGACATTATTATTATCATGAGGGACGTTATTTACATGATTAATAATATTTTATTGACGATGAGAATCTTGTTATAACGTGATGAACGGACACTATTATTATCATGAGGGACATTATTTACATGAATAATAATATTTTATCACGTTGAACTTTTACCCCAATGTCAATATCCAGCTTATTGATTGGGAAGGATGTAAAGGATACGCAGATTGATAACGATTCAAATAATTATCATTTGGAAAGACGTCTAGTAACATACATTGGAAGATAACGTGGAATCTAAGATATTGTTGTTATGATTGTTACTAACGATGTTACTTACAATCATTAACTACCTTGATTTAAATATTAATATTTCCACAGAAGGACTAGAAATATCAGTGTATAACAAAACCGATGATTTTAATTTTCATGTTGTATCCCTTACATTTCCTCACAGTAACATCCCAACCGAGGTTGGCTACAACGTTTTTTCAAGTCAAGTTCTTAGATATGGTAATGTTTGCACTAGATTGGATATCTTTACCTCCCATCTTCACAAAATATTCAAAATTCTAATTGATAGAGGATATAGCCGTGATAGACTGATTAAAGGCATTAAACGTTGTCTGAGGAAATATGATAACGTTTTCAGGAAGTTCGGTATTCTAGATGACCATAACATTATTAAAGAACTCCCCTGATATCTTTTGATTTATTGAAACACGGGTACTAACTCTGCTAAACTGAACAAATTCTGAAACTTAGATGAATAAGTGTACAACGTGCTAAACCGAAGTTCAGACTGACCAGTGAAAATGGGCGAGCGTACCAAGTGTCATTTAAATTAGAAGTTTTAGTCAGTGATTTATTATTGAAGCTTGTAATTACAATATCTAATGCTCCTATAAATACTTTAATTAATTGTTTGTTCCGTTATTCTTTTTCCTTCCTCTTTTCCTTGTCATCCCCTTTAGTTTTAAGATTCTTGCCATAAATGGCTACAGCTAACACTATTAATGCTAAGTACCAAACAACAAGTGGGAGGTGGATCGTTGGTATACCATTAAATCGATTTAACACCGCAATTCCAGTCGCAAGCCTGGGACCACTACTAGCATAGTCACAACATCTACAAAGCTGCCATATAGCCTGACTGACAATTTTCTCGACTGACTGACAATGTTTCTTCTTTTTGCCCATTTAGAATACAAAGATTAGTACATTTTAGCTTATGATTAATATTATATTTTTACCTATAGTTTACCTAGATTATCTTAGCATGGAGCTTTAGCTCACTCTTATCACAAAGGTAAGAGCAAGTCATTTCAATGTATTTAACATTGAATAATTTTTATGAATGTTTAAAAACACAAATATTTCTCACAGTGATGGAGTTATGTGTCTTTTTCAAGGTATTCATCACTTATCAATGCCATGAAGCTCGTTTCTTTAATATGTATTCTGAAATGGTGATTTTATTGCCGAGTGACACTTTATTTCTGGTATTGTACATGTGATTTCTGGCAATCAACACGGTTCATGTTCAAAATGTAAAATTTGGTCACAGTTAAATTGGAAAATAATTTAAATAATAGCAATGTGTTTTAAATAGCAAGTGAATTTTAGGAATTCAGCACAATAGAAATGTTGCAGTATATGACGAAAAAAACAAACACTTTAAGTGGACATTTTTCTTACTAACCTTGAATTCTCATAGATTAATTGGAGCTGATATTCTCTCACTTTCTTCCTGTTCATCTCTATTCTGTCGACATTCGTATAGACTTTATACATCATCGTCTTTGTTCCTGGGGTTGTTAATTAATAACTTGAGATAGGAATAGATTATCATTAGACCTTATTAAGATCTTCTGGTTTTTGTCATTTGAAATGGAAATCACCGGATTTGCGGTTAGTTTCTAATATTTGATAAACTATATCATCAATGGTTTATGTTGTAACATTTAGCTGGATTCTACGTACATCTCACGATTGTATTAATTGTTTTAGTTTAAATTTAATATATTTATGAAACAAAGTGTTTTACTGTGTTATAATGAAAATGCATTCTTTGTTAAATTTTTGAATTTAAATTGATTTTACATTTTATTTTACTTTGTCAAATGCTGTTGTGTTGAGATCTCGATAACTTTTCTGGGGACTTATGGGTACTGGGTTTCTGCTGTCATACTTTTCCAACCGGAAAACTCAAACATACATTTTCTTATTTAGAATTTAGATATCTAAGTTAGATTGCAGTATCATCTGAGCTATTTGTCATAGTCCATCAACTGTAAGATTAAATTAAATCAGTTTTCTATAGTAATATAACCATTAACCAACTCTCCCCGGCCCCTTACGACATTATTTTACCCCCTTTCGTCGGTTATGCTGATACTACCCTGGTTGTATGAAGAGTTTAGTTATCCTTTTGTAGTGATACTATGGTCATTTAGCATATCTGCTTCTGCAATACCTGTATTTATACACTCGGGTTCATTTAGATTGAAAATAAATTCTGTTCCTGAGGTGCAGGTCACCTCGCTGCTCCCTTTATTGAGAGCTCTGGATTCAATACAATTCACTTCCACCACGGTTCCTGGGACTACTGGGAACTTTGTTGTTGTTCTGATTGCAGTTCTCCACTCAGCCTTCAGTCCCGTACAGCTCACTGTCGATATTTCATATTAAATCACGTTAAACTGATTAATAAGGGTTATTTTGACAGTTTCTTATGATCACTTTTATTAAGTTATAAATAACAATATGTACTAAGTATCCTATATCCCATATCCTATAATATATGTGTTTATGTTAAATAACTAAATGGCATACTTGAAATTTAGACAGAAAACCTATTTGTAAATTAAAGTTATTGTTACTTTGTTAAACCAATGCTTGTTGTTATTAGTCACCTGGTTGTGATCCGTAGTAATCAGATGCTGTGTCGGAGGAATGGAACTGTATTTTTGCCACGTCTCTGTTCCAGTACGACCTCCAGTACGGATACCTACACGTTGAATAAGAGAGTAGTATGTTGAGCACCTCTACCTCGTTACATTGTATCACTATTCTAACACCTGCAGTTCTGGTTAGAGTGATACGCCAAACCTTGTCAGCAGTAGAGGGGAGTTTAACAGGGAAGTTAGTGTAGGATGGGCTGCAGTAGAGGAGCCAGTAATGTGGAGTAGAGCCGAAGCGGAGGACGACTCCTCCTGAAAGCTGTCCCTCAGCTGAGTAGAAGAACACATACACATGATCGTTACTCCCCAGCACACTATTAGTTTTAATTTCTAAAGGTGTCGACTCAGGATCCCACTCTATTTTCACCTCACGTTCGACTGGTAACCAACCTGTTAATTGTATGTTTAACTCATGACTACTGAGCAACGATTAATGAATATCATGAATTTAAAGAAGAGGTGTTCTAGCAAAATTGTAAAGGAATTGTATAAATTTTGCCCATAGTTTATTCTCAGAATTTAAGGGCCCAACCATACTATGACTGTTGTCACCATGACTGTTGTCACCATGACTGTTGTCACCATGACTGTTGTCACCATGACTGTTGTCATGGTGCGGTCAGATGTAATGACCAATGACCATATGTACGTATAAGTGTGTTTAATGTTTATAGGGCGTGCCAAGGATACGTGAGAACTCCTCAGGCACCCGGCTTTTCAAAAGCCTTACCTAGCTGATAATCCGTGCCTGACGTGACTGCGGGCAGTCTATTCAGTACTTGTGCCAACTGTCATGGATAACGTTACGTCACGATTACCTAATAAGGTCAATATTTTGCGTGATATGGACATTTGCACTTTGCAGTGCAGAGTGCAAAGATAGTACTATAGTACAGACAGATCTGTCTGAAAAAATCGATCTACTGACAGAAGAAGCTTCCGAAGGATTTATGACGTTTTTAGGTTCAATTTTAAGTTTCATTCGGGTGGCCAACTTTTCCAAAATTGTCCACATGTCTTAAGGCCACTTTTTGCCACTTTTGCCACTTTTTACCTCCTTTCTTGTTTGTCAAATATCTTCAGCTGTGAACATCGTAGAAGGATACGAATTAATAGAGGGTAATTATCATATCGACGAGAAAAACTTTTGTAAAACAAATGTTCTTATCAGACAATTAGATAATTGGATAGTTACTAATTAGCAAGTAAGCAAGTAAAAATCATAAATATGTTTATTGGCTCAAAATGATCGGAATTTCTTGAAACACTGGGAAAGGTAGGTAGTTTTTGAAAAAACTTTCGAAAATTTAAAATTTTTTTCCGCCAAAAGTTTTTTGAATAGAAGTTCTACTAGACTGAAAGCATCAAACCATGGTTTGGTGGCCGAACTGCATCCGACCGAATTGGTCCCCACTGGGAACCAGATTGGTCCCCACTGGGAATCGAACCCCAGTCGTCCGTGTGGGAAGTAAATGTATTAAAACCACTAAAGTTAAACCACCCGACCGACGTGACAGCACTGAGCATTCACATTTTACTATTTTCATCCCAATTATCATAGTATGTTTAGAGATCGAGCCTAAAATCATGACAAATGGCACAGTGTGTTAAGAGGCCGTGCCTTTACTCGTGACAACAGTCATAGTACATGGCTCTTACTTCCTTTTCCCATAGGTAGTATACAAATTTGCGAAATTTGTGACTAAAATTATGGTATTACCAAAATGTTTGTAACCAAATTTATTGTGAACCAAATTTATTGGATACTTTTATGCGATACATCGCATGAATATCATTATGGTAAACTTTTAATCAGTATATTATGTAATCATTTGATTTAACCTGTTATCCGGTTTGCAGAGCCATGTAATTCAAATTTTTCCCGATTACTTCTTTTCCCGATTACTTGGCTGCCTGTTAGGTGCCTTGCCGTCACTCGATAGGTAGCAGTATTTATGCGACCAAAAATTTTTTAGAACTTTTCACCTTGTTGTATTTGCGAAAGATCAAAGCATACACTTACAGACTGTTACAATGCTGAGAAACAGCAAACTTTTTTCCCTAGAGCGTTAATTGTATATCCCTAGGAGGTCACTAGTATCAAGATCTTAGTTTTAAGTTATATTTAAACAAATATAAATAAAAACACTTATTTAACAATAGATGTATCTCCAATCAGATAATGTAACTACACAAGCCACAGCAAATAAGTCTATGATATGTAGGCTGAGACATCTAGAAAATGTCGTGTTGAGTATAAGTTGTTAACTCAGAGTCAGACCCTTGTTTGTTTCAGCTGTTAGATTTAGCATGAAGCAAACAGAGGAGTGAATTACCGAGAATTAAACAATTTGAACTTATATAGTGACACCATATGGATTTTTAATATTATCATTTAGGTCTTGATTCTTTTTTGTTTGATCCCTGTCACCCTGTGGTCAATTCAAAGATAATACTTTCGACACTTGCACTTCTACTGGATAAACTTCACCTCATTGGACACACTACCTACAGCTCTTATCCCGCGCGCAGACGTACACTAAGTATCAGCCCGAAAGCAGCTCAAAAAGATTTCTACTGAGCTTGATTAATTATGTAGTAAACCTAAATTCGTTACAATTTGCAGGCCGTGAATGAATGGGGCCGATTACATTCCCGGTATCATTTTGCATAAATTTGAGAACGGTAACTTAAATTGATTTACTTCCTTTGTGTCTGGAAAAAGGAGATACGGTCGATGGTCCAATCTACCCAACTTTTGGTTTTTGGTGAAAAATATTTAATACTATAATTATCTCATTTCACCGGGTATAAGTGGTACTACTACTACTACTACTATTTTCTATAACGATAAATTATTGATCTATTTTTGATCAATGATAAGTAAAATAGCAGCTCATGCATGCACATGTCACGTAGCTTACCACAGAGAGATAGCGAGATGATTTGTAGGAATATTAACGTCGTTTGAAGATTCCGCATGTCTGCCATTCTACATTGTTAGAAAAATCGATGTTTAACTTTAAACGAAATATCAACGGCAAGTTTCCATAACTATTTTTTTGTGATCAGCGGTAATAACCGCTTTTTTTACGCTAAAAAAGCGCTTATTGATAAAACCCACCGTTATTTGGCGATTATAAAGCGATTATAAACGGTCCCGTTAATAAACGGTTAAAAACGATTATAATCGCTTTTTCCATAAAATATTTTTGCAAAAGCGATTATTAGCGCTTTAAAAGCGATAATAAATCGCGAATTAAAATTATTAGTGATAAAAAAACGCTTTTATTTTAGGGTTGTCGATTATTATCGCTCCGTAAGCGCTTTTCAAAAAACGCTTATAAACCGTTTTTTGGACCGTTTTTAAAACGCTTTTAATCGACTATAAGCGATTATATTCACTAGGGAAAGTTCCAAATTAAAAAGCGCCTACTAATCGTTAAAAAAACGCTTTTTTATTTTAAGTTAATAAGCGGTTTAAATCGATTATAAAACGATTATAAGCGACAATAAGCGATTTTTTGAAATCTGCTAAAAAGCGATATTTTCACTATGATCAGCGCTTATAACCGCTTTTCTTGAAATTTTCCTACTGAAAAGCGTTTATAAGCGCTTATTTATTTGCTGTCTATAAGCGATTATAAACGATTATAAGCGCTTTTTTACGTATTTGAAACGAGGAAAAAATTGTCAGGTACGAGATATTATAAGCGATTATAAGTGATTATAAAGTATCGTAAATGTTATTGTCTTCAATTGTCGCTTATAAGCGACTATAAACGATGAAAAGCGCTTTTTGACTATGATCAAAACTATGATCAAAATATGTTTTGATTTGATTTATTTGGGGTATATAAGCGATTATGTAAGCGGGGTATATACCTTATCGGACCTTATTTGGACGGACATTACTTGAACGCTGGAGGCCCTAGCGTTCATTTTAATGTCCGTTAAAATAAAGTCCGTTCAATTAATGTCCGTCCAAGTTAAAGTCCGTTGAAATTTTTTCAAAAATTTGTCCATTTCGAACTTTTTGTCCAGAATATGACAACTATGAGAACTTTATTGTGCCGTAAGTTAACGAAGGAAATGTTCTCCTTGGTCTGCTGGAGGCACAGAAAACTCTATTAGTATATGATGTTTCCAAGGGTCACTTGGCGGAAAAAGTCAATAATAATATATGATAAGTGACGTTCAGGAAAATTTGATGGACGAAGAAAATTGAAAATTGAAAATAAGACACAAGTCCAGAAATGAGCTGGCGGTGGGATCGAATGATAAATTAGCTTAGCCGACTGAATGATTCAATGAAACAAGAAATATTTTAAGACTGTATAATTGGTGTGGAACAGCCCTTAAACATTCTGCAATTTATGGAGGATTTCTGGAATTTCTGGAAATGATCTTACTTTACCTCACGTTTGCACCCCGACACTAAGTGGACCGACAATGGTATGGGGGTCACGACATGATGGTATGAGGGTCACGACAATGGTATGGGGGTCACGACTTCATACAAATCTTAATCAGGTAACCGGAAGTTAACCCAGTAGAGGAATCTATGAATCTTTCCTAGCCGTTAAGTAAACATCTACGGTAAGGTAATGCTTCCCTTGACGATAACCCAGCCTGTGGACATAGGTACTATGTTTCTAAGATAAACATATATCTCTGCGGCTATTTCTATCCTCAGGATGCCAGATAATGAGAGAAAAAAACACTTCAGTTTATATTGGTCGTTCGCTTTTCTTATTCTGATTCATTCACGGCCGATTTCATTCTCGGCAACATTTCGCGTTTAGTACAGAAACGGTAATTTAATTTGATATCATTTCCTTTTATTTGGAAAAAGGAAACTTTTGTTACGTTCCATGCACTTTATATTATTACCCAATTTTGGGTTTTGGTTGAAAACTATTTCCAATGGAATTGAACATGAAATAATTTAAGTTTAACTACATGTATATTGTATAGTGTCAGTGACAAATAAAAGTGTCAATGCAATGCAAACATTTATATGTGCCATTAATTTACGAGAGGGCCACCAAAATGTTTGTCGAAATAATTTTTGGGAACTAAGAGTAAAATAAGAAACTTTCTAATAGTAATTGTGGTACGAGAGAGCATATTATTATAAACAAATTAATTCTATCAAAATTCTTGTTACTGGGCGGCGCTCGGCCTATCAATTGTTATTCCAATATATATTCAACCTGTTTATGAACAGAGAGGTCCCCAGGTAAAATTCGTGGGGAGATATAATTAAATTTCTCAATCGTTATGTGGTAGTTGGTATGGTACCCTGATAATGACTTGTAATTTATACTTATACTTAAACCCATGTCTATACTGGAGCTACGCGTTTCCAAGAAAGCTTGATTACTTGATTCAATCATTATTCAATTCCCCGTAAAACAAAAATAATTCCTCCTTTCCCACCTCTAGATACCTCGCAATGTTCACATGTAATAGCAGATAATTCAGGGGTGTAGGAATGATTTTCTGTGCGCCACAGTCAGAATTTCAAAGGTTTTATCAATTTCAATACTATAGTAGTAGTATCGTAAATGTTTGCCGAAGGCAAACATTTTTGAACATTTTGCTCGTGCAAAACGCCTGGAAGCAATTTGGCAATACTAATAGAGACATTTTTGAACTATGCTTACACTGTACACCATTAAAATATTCTCTACAAATAATATAACACTAGTTCTACTAGTATATGATGTTTTCAAGGGTCACTTGGCGGAAAAGTCACCGAAATTATGGCACTCAACAACATAGTTCATGAGTTAGTCCCCGCCAACATGACAAACTTGTTCCAGCCTCTAGATATTACAGTAAATCGTGTTGCCAAGGACATTGTCCGACGTTGTTATAGTTCATATAACTCAGGGGAGGTAATGAAACAGTGCTAGGAAAGCCCCACGTGATGTTAAGGTAAACCTAAAGTTGTCTAAGATAAAACCACTTCACGCCGAATGGCTTGTAAAAGTTAACACTGAAATGCAGGACCGGGGGGCGGGGTAGTTTGATAAAAAAAGGTTTCCATAAAGCTAGAAACCACATATGCTTTAAGCATGGACTATTCTATGCACGAAAACCCATTTGATGAAGATGATATGTGATATTAGACACTGATCATGTACACATATTTTAACATTTTTAATGCTTAACGACTGCTTTTCTTACTTATTGTATTAAAAATGGATTTAAAATCATTTGCTGAAATTAAAAAAACGTCAAAAAATTGAAAAAAATTCGGATTTTTGATGGTTTTGAATGCCTTCGAGCGTTCATATTAATGTCCGTTCATAATTATGTCCGTTCATGTAATGTCCGTCCAAATTAGGTCCGATAAGGTAAGCGATTATAAACGATTATAAGCGCTTAATTCTTTACGTATTTGGAACGAGGACACAATTAACAACAAAAATTACGCGATAGCCGGAGGTCCCCAGGTAACGTCTCCGTCTCCGTCTCCGTCTCCGTCTCCGTCTCCGTCTCCGTCTCCGTCTTCGTCTCCGTCTCCGTCTCCGTCTCCGTCTCCGTCTCCGTCTCCGTCTCCGTCTCTGTCTCCGTCTCCGTCTCCTTTTCCTTTTTGAATTCGATTGTTTAGGGCTAGGGCTCCGGGGCTCGGGTTAGGGTTGTGGTAAGGGTATCGGATAGCTTCGGGGTTATATATATTATGGTCGTTTAGGTTGGGATTACGCAGGAGGAGCAAAGTGCAAAGAAACTGCCACAAACTGCTACAAACTGCTACTAACTGCTACAAACTGACACTAACTGCCACAAACTGGCACTAACTGCTACAAACGGGCACTGACTGCTACAAACGGGCACTAACTGCTGCAATCGCGCCCACGCATTGCTCCTCCTGTGATTAGGGTTTATGTAAAACCGTTTTTTACGGCTGCAAAACTATAAAAACCTTGTACCCCCATCGTTGTTTCATTATACCCCTGTAAAGTTTCTACGATACAATTACACTAGGGGGAGCTGCGCAATTGTGCGCGGCGCGTCGGGTCATACAACGTATGACAATAAAACCAAAGTCACATGAAATTTTTGGGCGAGCGAATTTATTAGTAAAAGCCAGCTCGGCATTTTGCCGCAATCTACGTGGTTGCGAGAAGGATTATAATTATTTGATGCGCGGCGCAGCCCAGTAGTGCATCGCGCTACAAGTAATTGTTCTACTTTATTGTATCCCAGAGTGGTACGTTACTGGGCGGCGCTTAGCCTGTCATTCCGCCGAATCTCTATTATGAACATAATAGCCTGAGGTCCCCAGGTAAGACGCACGTTATAATTGTTTCTATTAGGCGTGCAGAATTTTAACAAGAATTTCAACAAAAATTTTGCCGCGGGTAAACCACGCACGATCAATTTTTCTAATCGCCAAACACCACTCTGGGATTTACAATAAAGTAGAACAATTACTTGTAGAGCGATGCACTACTAGACTGGATCTGGACTGCGCCGCGCATCAAATAGGTAATTCTTCTCGCAACCACGTAGATCGCAGCAAAATGCATTATTGGGCCTTGCCGAACTGGCTTTTACTAATTCGCTGATTTGCTCGCCCAAAAATTTCATGTGACTTTGGTTTTTATTGTCATACGTTGTATGACCCGCCGCGCACAGGTGCGCGGCTCCCCTGTATCGTAGAAACTCTACAGGGGTATAGTGAAACGGCGATGGGGGTTACTGGGCGGCGCTCAGCCTGTCATTCCACCGAATCTTTATTCTTTATGAAACATAATAGCCTGGGGTCCCCAGGTAACGATGGGGGTCACGACGTGATACAAGGTTTTTATAGTTTTGCAGCCGTACAAAACGGTTTTACATAAACCCTAATCCCAACCCTAACAACCATAATAATAACCCTAACCCGAGCCCTAGCCCTAAACAATCGAATTCAAAAAAGGAAAAGGAGACGGAGACGGAGACGGAGACGGAGACGGAGACGGAGACGGAGACGG